GATTTCTTCCTTTCCCCCTTTCCTCATTTTATACGAGAACAAACTTGTTGGCTTCTTGCCTTATTTGGAATGCCGTCCTCCAACAATCGGCGTCATTAAAAATGAAAATATCTGTATATATATTGATGATGATAACTTTTTTGTTTTTTGAACTTTTATGTCTGGTGTAGTTGGACTAGATAGTTTTCTTTAAAAAAAAATTTAATTGCATCTGGAAGGGAGATGAAAAGTATCTGTTCCGTGCTTGTCAGACTTCTTTTTTAAACAGGATGCTGAGATTTTTAAGAAGATAAGCAGGAAGGGGCAAGGAGGGATGTGCTTCCAAGCCAATTGCAGCCCTACTGGGAGGGAAGAAGTGGAAGCATGGGAGAGGGTTTTAGAGCACACAGAGAGGTGGCCAGGAACTGGTAATTATTCTGAGCAGGATCATCCTTGAACCAAAAGGGTTGTGAAGATAATAGTTCACATATGGGAGTGGTAGGGGAATGAAATATGAGCTGAAAAATCAGAGTGGCTTACTGCTTAAGATGTTCTATGTTTGGCTTCTCTGAAGAAATATCTAAGTTAGTGTCATTGTCAGTTCAGTGAATCTGTTATTGTTGTGCAGAACTTGATGCCGATTGCTGCTCCATCTCCTACTCTGTGTTGGGAAGGGTGGATAGATACATGTTTGATCCTTACAACAATTGCAGATCTTTTAAATCAACCCATCTTGGAGGTTGTTTCATTATTCAATTTTAAGCCCTGTTTTAAACACTCTAGCAAACATTCAGACTAGTAGGTATGTCCTGAGAAAGACTGAAGATAAAAGATCGGTTAAGAAAGAGAGGTCTCACTGCTTTTTCTCTCTACTGCATGGAACAAGCATCCTTAGGAGATTATGGACAGGGCAGATACAGGTGACTGAAAAGAGTTTAGCTTAGTTTTTCATAACTGCTGTAGCCGAACCTTCACAAATCAGAAACTTTGGGAAGATAGCCAGCATCCTGAGGAAGTGCAGTCTCTGAAATCTGTGACCTCATTGGCAAACAAAACAAAGCTACACCAGGAAAACACACAATTTTCCATTCTTTTTTTTTTTTTAACGGTTGCATCAAATTAGGAGTCTGAACACTCAAACTCTGTTCTTCTAATGTAGGTGTTTTGAAAATTATGCAGTGTCTGGTCTGTCTTTTATACGCAGAGGGAAATGTCTATCTATAACCAACTATTTACAACTATCTGTAACCAACTGTTATTCCCCATTTTTTCCTAGGCTATACAAAGTTCTAGGAAAATGTCCTCTTCTGAGAAGTACAAATAATTTTTTTGTAAAAGCATTTTTTAAATATATAGACTGAATAGGGGAGCGAGCAAAATAAATACCTATTTTGCATTGCTTTATTGTATTTTTCTAATTTTGACTCTTATGCAGTGGAGAAAGAATTTGGGCTATTGAGCAGTATATAAATGCAGGAAGTTAAGTGAGCAGCTACACTATGCTAGCCCTATGATTAGTTTGGGTCATACTGCAATATTGGCGTGTGTTTTATCCTCTCATATATTGTAACCATTTTTCCCCAAAGCCTTATTTTATAAGAAGTATATGATAGCTTTGAAATGTAGGTTGCTCCTTGCTGTTGTTATAATATGCAAATTTCCTCAGAACTTTTGTCCTTCCAACATTTTTTGCATTTATCAGCCTTTCCCAGCTTCTGGATTGAATTAACACATATCCATCATCTCCAGCCAGCAAATCCATTTGATTTTGTGGTACCCAAGTCAACTAAGGATGCTTTACACATTTCTTGGCTAGGGAAAGGAAGGCTATGTTTCTTGAAGAAAAAGCTGGGCACTATTTTGCTTGCTTTGCACTTTTGTCTATTCACTTCCACAGCCAAATCCACTTTAAAAAAGGAAACAGTAAAGACAGCTTTGTGTACTATTTTTGCTCAGAAATGGGTGTGTTGTTAGCCAGGAAATGGAAGCTGTATACTCCACTAGTACCTGGAGTTTATGTAGCACCAGGAAAAGCACAGTTCTTCCTTGCACCTGTGACCCATCAGCTATATGGCTGTTTTACGTTTGCCATATGGATCCTCTATTTTGAAATTGAATTGTTCTAGTAACCAGCTGTCCCACATTCTCTTTGTGCATAGTCGTTGTCCAATTCCAGGTGTTCAGGGTTGAAAAATAATTCAGGGTGGAAAAATAATTTCCATCCTGGACTTTTCCTGTATATTTTAAGGTAATATAAAATGTAACCATTTCTTTTTTTTCCTATTATTTGAAATTGACTCTATCTTCTCTGTTGGTTCTGGGTCTGTTTGGGAACTTAAGCCTAGCTCATCTACTTTAAGGATCTAAATGGATGTCATGATTAGAGCAAATCTTTTCAAACCTAAGATTATCATGTCAATAAACCATATTGCAATAAATAAATATCAGACAAATCATATTAAAGAATAGAATACTAGGTTTGAGATCAATAGTTTCTCTTATGTCTACCATCCTGATTGTTTTATGTTAGTACAATAGTGGTCAAAATTGTGGAAACCTTTTGGGAAAAGTGTACAGTAGAAATGCCATTTTTAGTTAAGTTTCCACCAATTTTTCTTCTAATTTCTTTATAACTGTAGCTTTGTTCAATTAATAATACTATTTTACATTGCTTTCTGGGCAACCAGTCAACTCTTTGCACCATTACTTTAATTTTATTACGTTTTACAAGCTTATTAAATGGAAGGAAAAAAAAACCAACTTGATAGCGATCACACAACACACTGACAAATGTCCTCCTCTCAGCTTCAATACATGACATCAGTAACTGAATCCTAGTGTGATCTGATTGGCTCATTGCCAAAACAAGACGACCCTTGATTGGCTCTTTAAACACTCATGTACATTGGATACAATCAGATGAAGGAAAGCTACCTGATATCAACCTAAGCAAGTTGTGCTTCCTTTTTCTGGTTATTTGGCTATAACTTTTCATAGAATACAGTATGGAACAAACTTGGCTGCATTACAGTTTTGATTAAATTATTTTTCCATTGGCATATAATTTTATGGTACAAAGTGGTGTTATTAGCCATCAAACCTCAAATGTACACATTTCCCAAATGGTTTCCACAATTTTAGCCACTACTGTATGGTGGCTTGAGATGGGAGAAAGTGAAAAGAAGCAGTGACATACAAGTAAATATTTGATGACAGAAGGTACACAACAGATGTATGAGCTTTAAAAGTGGTTATGATAGGAAAGGTGTTGATTATGGATGACGTTGGGCGATACATGTGAACCATTGCCAGCTTTTAGCCTTTCAAGTGTACTTTAGGTTTCCTGCTTTATTTAGGAGGAATTGCTGCTACAGTAAACTGTATCCCAGCTTTATTCAAGTCTAAGACTTTTGAAGAGAACTATATCTTTTTACTCCTATATATCTCTTCAACACTCAGTTGACTTAAAATTCCATCTTGGTTTTATTTGACAAATTATTGGTTTTCAGCCTAAATTCATTATATATATATTACAAAAAGCCTATTCATGTGCATGTTGAAACAATCCAATTAGACTTCTAAACACGTTTTTTAGGTTTAATTTTCTCTCTTTATGTTGAGCTGAATACAGGTAATCTTTGACTTATGACTGTAATGGAGCCTGCCTATTATGGTTGCAAATGGTGACAATCATGAAATGAAACAGACGTGCGTAGCACACAAACCTTTTTCTCCCAGATGCCCCTGTTAAATTGAACAAGAGGAGCATGGAGTGCCTTATGGGTGAAGGGAGCTCTCTGAGGCCTGTCACCCAGCTGGGACCATAAAGGAGGCGGACAAGCAGCAAAAAAAAGTTGCAAAGCCAAAAGCAGCCGAGCAGGGAGGAAGAGGCCAGCTAGCGTAGGGCCTAGTGCAAGGGTAGTCAACCTTGGCTCTTTTATGACTTGTGGACTTCAACTCCCAGAATTCCTGAGCCAGTTAAGCTGGCTCAGGAATTCTGGGAATTGAAATCCATGAGTCATAAAAGAGCCAAGGTTGACTACCCCTGGCCTAGTGCTATGTTCCAATGCCAGAGAGGCTTCCAAACAAGTCCCCTCTGCTTGGTCAATGATGAAGCCATGCTTGTGGGCTGGACCTCTGCCCCAATCAGCTGGAGACTGCAAATGTCTCCTGGCTCTTCCTAGGCTTTAGGGATGACAGCCATCTGCATGTAAAGGTGGCAACTTCAGAATGTTCTTCCCAAAATCTTTTTTTCTTGCTTGATTTTCCCCTTTCCTCCTTCCAACAGAAACCCCCATTTCTTCAATAAAGAAAACAAAAAAAAATCTGAAAAAGACAGACCTGTTGATTCTTTCCCCCATCCCACCCACCTCCAAATTAAACTCTCCATCTCTGCTTCCAATCCTGATTCTTTTCAGCCGTTTAATTGCTAAATTTACTACATGCCTAGAAAGAGGGTGACAAAAATCTGTAAGTTACTTACCTTGATGAGTGACTGCCAGGATGAAAAACAGAGAGAGGGAAGGAAGGAAGGAAACAAAGAAAACTTTTCTGCAGCTTGTTTGCCTTGAGGAGCTGATGGAAAACTTGGCTCTAAAGAAAAAGCATTAAAATCGTGCACCCAATGGCCATGCCAAAACTGGGTCCTAAAGGCAGCCAGGCAAACAGCAAAAAGCTTCGAGACCATTGGAAAGGTTTGCATTCTCTCAATGGCCAGGTGATTGGGGCAGAAAACTCTGAAAACAGCCACCATTTCTGCAAGGAGTACTGAAAATGGTGGCTGCATTCAGGAGGCATGGGGAACACTGTGGGGTCTCAAGGGGCAGGATAGGATAGAGAAGTGGGGGTTGCTACAGTGGCTCTGTGGTTGTAAGGGCAAATGACTTCAGGGGTACTGCAGTTGTCATAAATTTGAATCAGGGTTTTGGGGTGAGCATAACTTCAAACAGCTGATAAGTGACTGGCTGTAACTCAAGGATACTGTACTATTTACTGATGAAGTTCTTTGCCTTCTTTTTCAGTGACGAACTGAGATACTGAGGTAAATAAAACTACTGCAGTATGTTCAGCGTAGAAGACCTTCTGGTTTCTCATGGATACAAGCAATCTAAAAATCCTACCAATTCATCTGAAAATCAAAATGACGGAATTCAGCATGAAGATGTTGGTAGGCGGTCTGGTCAGGCAACTCGGAATGGATTACCAACCCATCCCGGAGCCATACCAAAGACCAACAAACCAAGGAGTTATCAAAATGACAATGAGAATAAACCTGTCATCCAACCGAGGCAAAGGAATGTCTACCATGAAGATTTCTCAGGTCCAGGCAATGCGCAAGGAGGGTGAATATTTTTTCAATTTGCTCAGCTGTTTGTCAATATTGAAGCTCAGAGACCCGCAGACATAACTTTGTCGAAAGCATCATAAGAGGAAGTAACATGTACTTCAACAGGTTGAATGCACTACATTTATCACAGTGAGAAAAAGTGTAGCCAGATGATCTATGTCCCTAACTCTTTAATATTAATAATTTAGGTGAGGTTAATAGGCAACCTAAATTACTTTTACTGTTATGTTTTTGCATCTATTTGGACCTGGAGAAATACCCTTCTCCAGATACCCTCAAACTACTGAAGAAAAAACACAGCCAGCTTTTTGCAAGCATTTTAACTGTTCTGTTTGTAATCCTATTTGGATCACAGTTTGCAACCTTTGCAAAAAATGCAGTATGTCCCCTCCATTTTTTTCTTATAGCCAAACTATTTAATCAAAATATGAAAAAGAAAAAAAATGTGAAAAAGGCTTCAAGAATTTCCTAAATAGCTTCTCAGAATTGGTGAGCGTTCTTGCCTCCATGGCAAAATTATTTTTTCAGCACTGTGAAAACTTTGAATGGTCTCTGCAGAAGGAACTTGGTAAACGAGGTCTACCTATACTTTCTTCTGATTCTGTAATCAGAAAAAAGTACAGATGGACGTCACTTATGAATTGCCTTGTGACTGTTCAAAGTTATAATGGTGCTGAAAAAAATAAATTTGCAGCCAAGACATGCATTTATGTCTCACAGCATCTGTCTGAGTCACATGTTTGACATTAATGTCAGTTACGTGTTCTGTGCCTGACCCATATTTTTTCCCTATTTAGAGATTGTCCAAACAGATAATCTCTTTAAACAATTTCTCCTGTGCCTGCTCTGTTTTTCTCTACCTTACCTCAGAATGGAGCAGTTGCAGAGGAAGGGATTACAAGAGAGTAAGCAGGCACACAATGGGGAATATACTGGGCTGTTTGTTTAGTATTGTGAAACATTAATTCATTTCTTGTTAATTATTGCAACATGTGATGGGCATTCCAAAGGGTATGGAAAAGGAAAGCACAGTCATGGCCATTTCCCACTTAGCGATTGGTCCCAATTGTGGTTGCTAAACAAGCACTACCCCAATTATAAGGACTTTTAAATTTAGGATTTACAGGACAATAACTCCTCCATGAAGTCAAGGAAATAATCTTTTCTTTGTGAATTAAGATTTCTTTGTGAATTAGGATGGGTTAAATTTACAGAAAGAAATGTTTATGTGTAAAATAAATAATGTAAAATCAAGTTGTGACTGGTTGCTAAATTGAGGTGTTAAAGAAGCTCTAATCTGCTTTTAAGTCTAAATTTTAGACTCTCTATTTTTTAATCATTTACCTTGAGCATCAATCAATCAATAAAAGATAGTAAGATCAATATACCATACTTGATGCCAAAATCCTTTTATAGAAAAACGCCTTATTCCTATAATATCAGAAATTGAACTCTGATCTTCTTTGATTAGAGAAAGGACAATATCTGCATTTACTTTTAACTGAAAACTCTTTATGACTTTTATGTAAAAAATGGAAAAAATAGATTTATGCTTTTGATGACTAGATAGGATACATCATAAAAAAAGAGAAATACAATGTAACTTCACAAAGAGAGGTTAAATATAATTAGATTTATTTAAAAAAACAAACACCAGTTAAACTTCAGCCGTTTTGTTACATGATAGAAAATCTGGCCAAATCTTTTCCTAATTTGATCAAATGACTGGGAGAATTGTGGTACCACAAATGAAGATAATTAATAGTGCAATAAAATATTGCAGCTGATTTCCAAATCATTTAACCCATCAATTTATAATATTTGTAATCTGTGTGACTTATAATTTAAACTTAGTAGGTTTATTGGGGGGGATTGTTTTGGAAATGTAAAAAAATAAAGTTGACATAAGAGAAGAAAACAAAAAATGCCCCAAAGGCATATTAATATAAAAATCCACATGATGTGATTAAAAACGGGAAGTCTCAAACTGAATTTCACCAAAGCAAATATGAGCCACTCCTGGAGATCCTGTTTAAATCAGTGGCCTTGCCATCACTTTATGAAATATGTTGCCTGCAGCTAGTTACAAATGCACTTTTGAGCTGAAACAAACTAAACACAAAAGATTGCCCATTTGGAGAAATATTATGTGGTTCTGCTGCAGCTGCTTATCAACTAATAAAGTTGTGGCTCATTTTTGTTTTAAAAGACTCATGGCAAAAATTGCTCTCAGAGCTAGAAAGATTAGCCCTGGTCTCTCTCTCTCTCCTTGCTTTCACTGCAGTTTTTGTGTTGTTGTTGTTTTTTCTTTAATGTGAAAAATAGTTCATGCAAAACTGACTCACAATGAGGAAAAGCTAATTTCAAAACTGTTATAAACATTTGCAGAGAACCTACTTAATGTGTAATATATATTATGGCTGAGATAATTATTGAATGACTGAAGAAAGCAGTAGATTGCAAGGACTGCTGTTGAAAATGGATGGAAGTATAAAATGACTGCAGCCACACTGCTGAAATGTTTGGCTAACTTAAAAAATTAGCTGTTTACTTGGTAAATTTAACCGTTTGTTTGTTTGTTTCTGCCTGAAAGAAGAAAGGGAATGTTTATGTTGTATGTAAAAAAAAAAAAAAAAAGGAATTTGATGCATGGACTATGTGGGACCAGTATTTGTATTAATTATATATTCAGGTACACACACTTTTTCCTGGCTCTGTTTCACATTTTCTTCATCTTTTGTAAAGTATGGCTTGTGATAGACAGACATACGCATCCACACACAATACCTTCAATATTGATTTTATCAAGAGTTGGCAATGCTAGAAAGACAACATGGGGAAAAGAAGGCTGGGTTTAGATTGATTGTTTCTTTGTTGCTTATTTTTGTTTCTGGAAGTGAAACTGTCTTTAAGATTTTAAATTAACATCTTCCTTCTAGGTAAATATAATATTATCTTGCTTGTCAGCATATGCTCCAAAGTGAGGGAAAGAATTCTCTTCTAGTTTATACAAAATTTCTTTCACGCTATCTGAGATTTTGGTTCTGTTGATTTCCTGCATTGCCTCAAATTCCTGTTACAGATATCTATAAACTGAGAGAATTTTTTTTCCAGGGGTCATTTGAAGGTCAAGCTAATGAACAAAGACTAAGTATTTAACTGCACACACTGAAAAATACTGACACAAATACAGGTTCCAGCCCCATTTTGACATCCCACAGATGTATACCTTTTCAAGCACCTCCATTTTTGTTTTGCTAAAGTATTTTGACCTCTTTTTTTTAATGTGCACCTTCAGTTGGGGAGCAGTCTTTGCCACAACTTTAAAATTGGGCATGGTTGTATGTCCCCAATTGACAGCTTATAGGAATGCAAAAGAAGTGGGTGACAGGCTGTCCTGAAAAGAAGAATTTGTACAGTTAAAAATAATTTATGTTTTAAAATCTGTTCCAGGTTTACAATTGTAATACTTATTCATTTTAAGATGTCAGATCTGAAAAAAAAATATTTTGTCTATGTGGCAGACTGTAACATACAGTTTCAAGTATACATTATGCTGAAGAAAAAGAGGCATATTGATTACAAACATAGGTACAATCTGAGTTCTTCTGTGGTTTGTTGTGAAAAGTTCTGCAATTCAGAAATGTGAGGAAAATAAGTTGAGTGTCTTATGATTGTAGCTGGTTCAGATTCTTTACTAACTTAGATCCAGAGAAAAGAAAACATGTACAAAAATCTCTTCACTGGTACTTCCTTTCATTTGCAGGCTTTATGATCAATCACAGCTAAGTAGGTCTTCGCACTCCAAGAGAGATAAAGATCTTGCCTACCAGAGAAGACAAGGCCAAGATTTTAGTGTGCATGGCTATCCTGACAGAGCAGACTCTGAAACAAAGGGGATGGCTGCAGCTTGTGCCTTGTTTGAAAATGAGAATGAATCTCAGTGGGAGATTGAAGAAGGATTATATAATATGAGAATGAACACACGGGAGACCATGAAACCTGGTGACTACAGATGGCAAAGTTTAAACAGAGAAACCCGGAACCAACCAACTGCATTTGGACGACATGAATTTAATACAGATAATAAAGAAAGGCTGCTTCAGGTTGTGTATTCAGGAAGACAAGACATTGCAACTTCTCATATTAAGAATAAAGCACAGTCTTTCCCAAGAGTTTTTCCCCCAGAAAAATCTAACTCTGCTGAAATTCCTTCTTTAGTTAGCAGTAAACATCATAAAGTAAATCCTGAGTTGGAAACTTTGAAACACTCTGAACCAGCAACTAAGCCCAAGTATGGCAGACCCCTGAAGCCACCTTCATATGAATTTCATCAACAGACAAGGGGAATCCTAGAAACCAATCTACCACAGGATGATCAGCAAAAATGCAAAACCACTTTCTATGTGACTAAAGTTAATGAACCAGATCAAGATCCTACCTTAGAACCCCCTTTGTACATACCTCCCCCATGTTACAAATCTCCTGGTCAGCAAAGTAAGAATCAACATGTCTCCGAAGAAGTGCCTGACTACGATACATGCTTTATTAAGGAAATGCAGTTGTTAGAGCAGAGTATTAGTTCTGAGTCTTCAGTTAATCAGCTACAAATGGAAGAGGAAGAGCAGATTTTGTGTAGCAGCAAAACACATGTGAGGAATCGGGAGAGACACCTGTCTTCTGTTCAATATATTCCTTTTGATGACCCTCGAATACGGCATATTAAAGTAATACATCCAGCTGACCATCAAATGGACAACCAAACGGGAAATGCAAATAATACTGATTCAAATGTCTATAATAAGAATTCTGTGGAACAGGAGTTCTATAATTCAGCTTTCGATGTACCGGACTCAATAAATATTGCTATAAAATGCAACCAGGTCTCTGGTAGCAGCACATGGTTTGTGGAATCCAGTGTAGATCAGGATAGTGGCACCTTGTCTACCCAAAGAGGCCGTTATGACACAGGCAACGATCTGTACTGTGAATACCCAAAAGGCCAACCAACTGCTGAAAGCCCAGATGCAACAGAACTGTCCTCTGAGACTCTGACTAAAGTGAAAACCTTTGAACCTGGAACTGAGGTTCAAGGCAAAAACCATTTAAAGAAAAAAACAAACGAAACTATATTTTGCTTGGTATCTGTCCCAGTTCAATCTGAACTGAACATGCCTGATTCCGATAGGAATAACAGTGTAACACAGGGTGCCTGTGAGAAGGATGGATCTGAGGATCTGAATCGAGATCTGAAAGAACAGAGTTTGCTCAGTACATCTTCTACTGATCTGGAGCTCCAAGCCCTTACAGGAAACATGACCAATACAAATGAGCTACAGAAACAAGCGTTCCAGAGAACAGAGTTCAAACAAATTCATGATTTCAAGAGCAAGGAGCCTACAAAGCACAAAGAGATTCAGCATTCTGGCTCATGGCCATGCGATAGGTATAAAGACAAGGAAACTCAAACTAGCTTTAAAGAAGAACCCAACATTCAGCAGCCTGCCCACAGTCCACAATCTAGGAAATTAAACACACTGACCAATGGCCACTTGTTAAAGTACGGGTCATCTACTACAGAATCAGCCCCAAGTTTACCTACTGATAATAGGAAAAGTAGACCAATTCCTCCCCCTAGGAAATCTCTGGGGCATCTCTACCAGCCCAGCAAAACTGAGTCTTCTAGGGCTATAGTCCTTAATCCCAAAGCAGGCCAGAGTGTGTGCCATACTTCATCCACAGGGCTTCCTGGGCGGAGAAGCGAACCCAGTTTTGCCCACAAGGAAGAAAGGAAATCGCCTTGTAGTGTCAAAGAAGCCTTTGGGCAGTTTCTCTTAAAGCCTGTTAGCCGACGTCCTTGGGATGCAATAAGTGAACTAGAAAGTTTTAATAAAGAGATTCAGAAACAAGAAGAAAAGAATGAAGGTGATAAAGAAAATGAAAAAAAGCAAGAGAGAAACGAGGAGGAGGAGGAGAAAGGAAAGACAGAAGAAAAATCTTGTAGAGCTGATAAAGTAAGCCTGAACCACAGATATGGTACACAGTCACAAAATATAAAATCATCCATTCCTGTGTTCAAAAGGGGGGCTGATAAAAGTAAACCTGAAAGTGAAAATGCTTCTAAAAGTTCAGATGCAAGAGTTGCATTCAGTGACCTTAGGAATGTTAGATCAGAGGAAAGAGAAATGGATAAACCGATTAAGGAAAAAAAGGGAAATGTTGGTCTAAAACAAAAACAGGAAAATGCGAGAAAGATTATTAAACGGGCTATTGGTTTGCATCCAATGAAATCGAATGTTTCAGGTTGCTCGGACAGTAAAAATTGCTTTAATCCGTTCAAGAACATTCATTCTATGGAAGCAAGTGTCGAAAACCGTAAGAACAAGGATTCTGATAAGATGAAAAAGGCAGCAGGCAGGAATATCCCTGCTTCAGAAACAGCACCTATAGCACCACTATCTTTAACAAAAAGGAACCAAGGACGCTCTGAGCCAAATTTAAGATCTGTTGGGATGAATGTCAGTGAAGGCACATGCATTCTTGATCCTTCTACAAAAAAGATCCCATCAAATGAATCGCTTCAGGCAAGAGCAGTCAGGATCCTGGGCATAGAGGTAGCTGTGGAATCCCTAACAGCTGATAACAAAACTCTTCCCAATGAAGACTCTGACTCTGATGACATGGCAGAGAGCAATGAATTGTCAAATGAAATGATACTGAGGGCTGAAATGAAAACAGATGTGGTTTCCAAAGAAAAGCAAAGAAGCGGCTGGCTAAAGAAAACTTTCATTGGAGAAAGCATCTTGGGATCAATGAAAAATCAGAATTCTGATGAAGAAACATGGGAACAGTGTTGTCAGCAGCGTCCTGGTCTTAGCAAACACCACAAAGACCATGCTCATTCTGCTAAATCTGCTGTGCTTCCATTTGCTGATAGAAAGGCACTCCCCTCAAACGTAGAAAAGAAAGCTAAAAGCCCTTCCAGAGTGACTGTGCCCAGGCAAGGCAAAGTTGCCTCTGCTGCAAGCCGAGCAGCCATGGATCGTTTGGCACGGATGAAAGAAGTTGATTCAGTTTCTCGTATGAGACGTCTCAGCGTAAAGAATGCCAGATCAGGTGAGGATAGAGATGAGGAACCAGAAGAGAAAGGAAATGATGTCAACGTTGGCCGCACTGAATTTCCCCGCAAACAATTGCAAGGCAGTTGCGTTTCCAAGCGTATAATCTCACTGAATAAAAATGAATGTTTAGACAATAGAAAACCCCCCCAAAATGGAAGAGATTTACTTAGCTCAGGTAAGATACAAATTTCTCCAGGATTTGTATGGTGAGCGCGTTATTGGGAGATGCATACATATTTTCCCAGGAGGGTTTTAAAAAGAAAATGTAATTTCCTGTTTCAGTCTAAGGTCTGAATTCTGCAGCTGAGATTTCATTTTTGGCAAGCAAATAGGAGATAGTCAATAGCTGAGACAGGTAACCCTACCAGATGAACCAGCTGTTTTGGGTTTGGGCTTTTTTCTTTTTTCTTTAACAGGTATACACCATTATAAATACCCTAGAGTGGAAGATGCTGTAATGCTGAAGGAATTTGCTATCTTCCTTTCCACATGCTCGGTCTTATGTTTTTAAACTCAAATATGCATTAAAAGTAACTTCCTAGTTTTGCCTGCAGTGTTCACATTATGCTTTCCAGAAATGAATAGAGAAAAAATAAAAAAAATCTGATGTTTAAAGTAAAAACAGTTGCCCCACTTGCTGAATGTGAGATCTCATAAAAACCAGGTTCTCCACTTTTATATTTTTGTAGAGTTATTAGCTGCCTTCAGACTCTCTTTGTGTAAATGTACAGATGGTCTGAAAGCTGAAAGTCCTTTCAGAACCATTCTTCCAAACAGTTCAGTATAATTTTGTTTCTTCTTATTGCTTATTTCATATTGGTTTTTCCAACAGTGGTTCCATATTACTTTTGAGCAGAGGTAACAGTTTTAATTTTAGTTCTTTTATTTATTTAGTGTATAAGAATTGCTTTAATCTGATCTTCCATCATTCCTAGTGAGATGACTAAACATCATAGAGAAGATGGGAGGTGGAATCTTAACATTCCTGGCAGACAACAAATTGGGGAGGATGCCTTAGAAACTTTGTTATATATTAGACAGATATTCTATTTGGGGTTTGAACAAAGATGAGGGATTCCAGTAACAAGAGGGAGGCAAGATTGAGAATAAGATTCAAAGGTGTGCTCCAAACAGAATGTTTTAATGACATGTGCTTTAATTAATTTTCTTGCCTCTTTATAGTCTGTTAGGTAAAGAATAATCATATATGATCTAAAATATGGGGTGTATTTTTCTCCCTCCCCCCATGGTGATCCTGTTTCAAAGAGATTTGTATTTTTAAGGAATGACTTCTAAGGTAACTATAAAAAGTAGCTATAATTTTAGAATGAGACAGTTGGCTTCCAGAAAAGCCACAATGCGGAGAGCGTGCCTATTTGCACAGTGTATTGTGTTTTTAAGAATTCTCTGGATCCTTTAGGTGCTTTTCCATTCTGCTATCTTATCAGCCGGCAAACTTTAATTAATACTTCCTTGTTGACATTTCTTAGTGGTAAAATAAAAATATCTATTTACTTTGAGTCAACAAAATACTTTAGTATAAGTTTTTGTGGTTTTAATTTTTTTCATGCTCACAATAGCTCTCTAATACAAATAGAATATAGCATAAAAGGGATGGATATTATAAATTATAAGAATTTGAGTCCATCCAATGATATAGATGCGTATATTATTAGCTATATCACTCTTGGAAATTGGCTATTTTTCTAATAACATTGAAGAATTAGCATCCCTAACTTAAAACCTGAAATGGCCAGAGGTCTCATTGGGTCATTTGGCACACCTGTTGCTTTTATTATAAATCCACTAGATCTGTCTAGGAAAGGTAAATACTGCAAACATATTGATACGCAAGCTTTCTCTTTGTAAAACTCTTATTTACTAAGAAGAAATTGGCCACATATACACACAAAACATCTTGCTGTACATTCAGCTGCATTTCAGTGCCACCTGATAAGACAACTTGATAGAAATTAGCTATTATTAAGAAAGCACAACATTTCTTTAAATAGAGTAAATATTGAGAACTCTACTGTGTTGTCATCAGAAGTCAAGCTGAAAGCAATGACCCCTTATGAGCTAAGGATTGATTCACAGAAATCAATCACCCTCCTTCTCTTTTTGTGCAATTGATAGTAATAGCATAATTGAAAACCACAAATATAGTAGAAGCCTCCTCCATACATACAATAAAGAATTAGTGTGAGTCTTCATTTCTCTAGGATAGTGCCACTAATAGTGTTTCTTTGCAATCCTGAGAACAGGCCTACTAAAAATTCTTCATGCCATATCCGTTATCAGATGTTGGTGATCCTGTTTTTATCAGCAGCTGCACGAAAAAGTGCTGCTGAGTTTTGTCCAAACCAATCTCTTAGATTTTGAAGCCACGATGTTCTTCTTCTGCCTGGACCTTGTTTGCCTTCAATCTTTCCCTGGAGGATTAAATGGAGTATGCCGTATTTTTCTGGGTGTCGCATCACATGTCCAAAATATTCTAATTTTTGTTTTTTAATTGTTTTGATGATTTCCCTTGGCTTTCCCAAGTGGCTTATCACCACCTCATTTCTGATCTTGTCAACCCTGCTTATACGTAACAGCCACCTGTAAATCCACATTTCAAATGCTTCTAGTCTCTTCAGATGGCCTTCTGTCAGAGACCAACTCTCTATTCCATAGAGCAAGATAGAAAAAATATAGCATCTGACAAGCCTGATTTTCAGTCTTAGGCTTATGTCATGACTGCAGAAGACCTTTTTCATTTTGAAGAATGGTGTTCGGGCTTTTTCTATCCTTGTCTTTACTTCAACGGTCATGTCCCAGCTTTCATGTAAAATAGAACCGATACTAAAAATTACATACTGAATATCCTAATGAATCATGAAAAACTAGTGGGGTCTGAAAAATCTGTGGTGTGAAAAATCCATAGTTGCAGTATTTACCTTTCTTAGATCATTTTAGATCATGGTAAGTATCAGTCAGATAAGATTTTAATGAATGCTAGTTGTAAGAATGACTCCTGAATATGTTGAGTCTTTCATAATCAAAATCCTATATAGATATAATTGTTATGAATTGTTAGTACTAATAATCATGCTCGCTTCCTATTTTACAGAAGTCTATGATCCCAGCCGGGTTGAAAGGGTGTGATACAAAAAGAACTGGCTTTCAAGAGATTTCAAATCTTTGTGAGGCATTTTCCCAGTGGCACCATGTGGAAATATCCTTAAGCCTCAGTGTTTAGAGTATATTGGTAGAACATCTTATCTGCTAGAGGAGGAAAACAAGTCTTTATAGAGAATGTATGCTTTCTGGAACTTGCATGAAAGAACGTGTGTATATGCACGCATGCAAAGATTTCTTAATCTGGAACCATCTGTTTTTCAAAGCATTAAGACTTAATGCCTCTACTTGGCATAGAGTGGCCATTTTAAAACTGAACTGAACAGTGTTCAGTCAGGATGGTAAACAGAAGGAAGATGGGAGGGGCTCAGGGAAAGGGTTGCTTTTTTCTCTGTAGAAAATGTAAACAGGAGAGATTAAGAAAATTATTTTTGAAGAAAGAATGTGAATTTCTAAGTTAAATATCCAAAGTTCTGAACTCTCAAACCTTGTTGAGCATTGGCCATAAAATGGCCTTCAAGAGAACCACTGTTGCCTTTTCAGTTCAAGGGGATGCCAGACAACAGGACTGAATGCCGACTGACCAACTGTGAAATTGATTTGGACTTGGTCTGAAACGGCTTTGAGTGGAATTTCTTCCTTCTTACATGCCAAGACAATGTAGACAAATGCACCCTTGGAGGAGGTGAACCCAAAATATGGCAGATCATTTTGCCGCCTCTGACCTCTAATCGAATCAAACCAGGATCATCTCCGCTCTGGCTGCTGTTCTGCCCTCACTGTTATGTAGTTAATTCTGTTTCCTTTTCCTCTTTGTAGTTTGGGCTTAACATTCTATATGCCACCAATTTGCTTGTCTATTATAGCACATCCTTTTCTAATCCAAGCAACTTTTTTGCAAAATGTGATGTATTTTTCTATAACATAGGCAGTTTGCCAGTTTTTTTCATTGGTAAGATCTTTTTTTCTTTCCTCCTAATTGTCTAGGTGAGTTTTTCAAAGAAACCAGCTAAGAACTTTATTTGTGCATCTTCTACACATTCCACATTAGCCTGTCTCTCTACAGCTGCCATGCTGTGTATTATAATATTTGTTTTTGTGTATATAAATATAAAGGAGGTACCTAAACCTAGACAGGCTTAATTTTCTTACTGCTTGGATTGGTTCTTTTAAATAAGGATGGTGCCAATGGTGGTTCAACTGATTACTTTCTACCAAGTTAGTTGGCAAAAATTTAAAAACAGCCGTTTAATATGTTACATCCTTAAGTATGTAAATTTTGTATTGATGCAAATACTGAAGCCTTGTACTACAAGCCTTGTACTACCCATTAATAGGAGTCCTTTGCCTCCATTTAATTCTTGGAGAAAAATCTGTGACCATCCATATGTAATAACAAGGGATGACACTTGTTTTCACTTCCCTTTATGGCAACAAAAATATGTAATTTCAGTCATTGAAGCTCAGTGCCATTTTAATGGTGTTGTGATTTGTGCCTATATTTGAAACTCTTGAGCCAGATTTTGTAAGCACCTGACTTGGTACAGAAATTCAAAGAATTGCCCTGCCTTTATGTTTGAATGTTGTATTTATATCTGTTTTGTTTAATGGCAATCCATATAGGATTCATACTTGTAAGCACACAAAGAGTTATTTTGTCACTTAAAAAAGATTTTCAGTTGAATTTAGGGCAAATCTTATTCATTTCTCCAGGAGTAATAGCAGTTTAATTTACTCAAAATTTATGTACCTAATTTGTTATTCTTTTTATTTGCTAATATACTTCTGGAAATAATACTTCTGTTTGTTTTGTGTCTTTTGTTCTATCAAAATCATGTTACTTATTAAGTATTTCAAATTAATAGGCACACACAGAGATAGATACACACATACACACATTCACCTAGAAAGAACATTTTCTGTTATTTGGCAAAATAGCCTCCTTTTTTTTTGCAGCACCTATAATCCCTTATCTATAACCCCAGCTATTTGAATTTTTTCCAATAATTAAAATTTATTATACATTAAGCAAAATAATGTATATTTTTTTACATAGGTTTCTTCCCAATTTTATTTTATTTTTCTATAGCACTTAAAAGATAGTGGGTTTTTTTTTTTTTTTTTTTTTTGCTTCTAACCAGTTTTTACCTATTTAAAAAGACAATGGTTCACTAAAAGGATCCTAGATATTTTTCTCTTTTTTGATCCTTTGGAAACAATTTCCATCATCATTAACATAAAAGTTTAGTTCCCTGGAGGAATTCCTGAATAAAAATAATGAATACATTACCCATTGTCATTCAGGTACTGTTAAGTGTGTACACAAGGTATATTTACAACATTATTTAGGTTGGATCCAATGTGCTGTTTTTTAGCATGCTGGCTAGAGAATTCTGGGAGCAGAAGTCCACATATCTTAATGTTGTTGATGTTGGGAAACACTGATCTAATTATTTCATTGGGTATAGAAAATTCCCAAGAAAGTTATTCCTCATATAATGACTGGTCACTTTATAACTGTTCAAAGTTATAAAGGCCACAGAATGGGTGCTTTTGGGCCTACAAAGCACCCCTGGCTATTGAAAATAGTTGTGGTGCCCCATTACAGATGGGGCAGTTTTACAACTGGTGGCAGTCACATGATTGTGATTTACGACGTCTTCGACTAGTTCCCTACAGAAAAAAACCCAGCCTTTTAAATAAATGGGTTCACTTAATGACACACTTATCACACTGTGAAAAAGCTGAATAATTACTTCCCATCAACAAGTGTATCTTGATTTATGACTACAACAATTAGAGATTACTTCTGAGCTTAATCAAAATCATAAGTTGAGAACTATATGTACAAGGGTAGCAGTAGACACAAATAAGTCTCCTTGTTCATTTTGCTAATAAAAGTAGCTCAGAACCAAGTAAATCAAGTTACTGAAAGTAAGTTGCAAAATAAACCTTTTGAACAGTCAGTTGACCAGAAAATCAACCAATTCTAATCAGGGAGCAATTCACAACTATGTTACTGCTAAGGCTCTGTCCCTAAAGTCCACTGAAAATATTTGCACTTGTGACATACTGTGATGTGGAACAATTAAAGGAGTCAGTCAGAATAGAGCTGGAAGGGACCTTCAAGGATAATAATAATAATAATGTTGGAAGGGACCTTGGAGGTCATCTAGTCAAGCCCCCTGCTCAAGCAGGAGACTCTATATCATTTCAAACAAGTGACTGTCCAGTCTCTTCTTAAAAACTTTTCCAACCATTGTTTCTTGTCCTGCCCTCTGCTGCTTCGGAAAACAAGTTGCCTGCTACTCTTTGTGGTAACCTCTCAAATACTGGAGCACTGCTATCGTGTCCCCCATAGTCCTCTAATTATGTCTGATGGCTCCTCTCTCCAATGGAAACATCAGACATAATTTCAGGAAGAAAGTATTCTTTGCTTGGCTGCCAAGGACTTGTTCTAAATGTCCTTCACTGACTTTAATTGACATTATTTATCCATTTAAAACATTATTTGTTTATTTATATTCATATTAATTGCCCATTTCACCCAGAGAAGGAGAATACTTTACAGTCCATATCATTTAAGTGAAAGAAAAAGCATATAGTTCTTTTTTTCTGGTATTTATCCCCCATGAAAAGCATCTTTTTTGCATCTAAACAGGCTTTGTATTATGTCAGTAGGACCTGTTGAGTAGTCCTATAATGACAACAGGATGAGGCCAGCTTGTATTTTCCTTAATGCTTTGCACAGGAGAATAAAAGCAAATTCTGGAAAGGATCTGAGAAGGCTGTGTTTTGATTAGATACTAGGATTTTCCCCAGACATTGGGATAAGATCACTTTTCTAGATGCATACAACTCACTGTTTAATCTCATAATTTTGGCTCTTGGGATTTGCAGAATGTGCTAAAAACAATGCACGCTGGCTGAGAAATTCTGGGAGTTGAAGTCCACAAGTCATAAAAGGGCCATGTTTGAAGACCCCTGCCATAAAGTTTAATGTTTTCTTGATAGGATTTTGTTTGTTATTTGTTGAGAGTTAATAAAGTCATGACTGTTAGTCCAACAATGCACATAGAGCAAGTAATATTTATAACGCAAGATAAAGTATTTTAACATCCATTTTTCTAGAAAAAAACCCCAGTCTTTCAGCATCACCACTTAATTTCTACTATTTAGAGTAGACATGTCAAACCCGCGACGTCAGCCCGCGGGCCGGCAGTTTGACACCCCTGATTTAGAGAAATGGGACAAAATGACACAAGGACCCTATTGAGTATAATTCTTCCCTCTCATGTTCCTGCAAAGAAAAGATTCTGATTCATATTTGGCAAAACAATTATATATTGGGAATAGAAAGACTGACTGTTATGCTTAGTATTCAAAGATAAAGGAACTGAACTCAAATTTCTGGTATCTAAGTGGAGGTATCCATAAATAGTGGTGAAATGTCTTCAGCCACTAAAGAAAAACAGATGTAGCTTATTGCTAATTGCTTTTATGTGTTCAATTATCTGCTAGCCCTCTCTATAAGGGAGTGGAACAAATGCTAAATTCCATAATCTTTGGTTTCCAGATCATAAGAAAAGTCCTGTTCTGTGATTTGTGCAACATGTTGGCAACATTGTTAGAACAGTCAGAACAAAGGGCTGGGGAACAATTAAGCAAACACCATATTTTTAAGAGAATTATATGGCAGAAATTAGGAATAAACATAGCATCCTACAGCCAAGAAAATCACAATAAGGTTATGCTTATGAAACCAATTAGGAATTTTCCATCCTGGGCAGCAAACAAACCCAACCCCCAAAAATCTCAAAACATATTGGTAATAATAACTAGATCATTGACTGAAATGTCGAAAGACTATAGAAATACAATAACGTGGATGGCAGCCTCTGTTCTTATATCTTGAAGCAAAAGCTATTTTTCTTTCACAAGGGAGAATCTTTACATAGGTGGCACTGTTTTTTCATTGTCAAAAATAATGGCTGGGGGTACCAATGAAAGGCAGGCCATTCACTGGATGATTTTGTAAGGTTAGGAGGAAGGAAAAAAGAAGCCACACAATCACACAGACATTGGAATAACAATATAAAAGGAATTATTTCATGCCTCTTTGTTTTCTTCTGCAATCGAAATATAGCCAACTAGGATTACTCATGAAAAGCTGGAAGGCATTTTTGCTCACCTATTTACAGGCAGCTATCAAAGAAGCTGCTAGTAGAAGCAAACTTAAAAAGAGAGTCTCTTGTCCCCAAACTAGAGACGAGATAGCAAGACTTTTTTTTTAAAACTTAATTACCAGAATCTGTTACCATCTGTAAAAAGTGATCTGCCTTAGAGTTTTATAGCCTGGCCTTGACAAATGACAGCAGCAAGGAAAGGAAAGAAGGTAACTAAATAGGAGAGTATGTATGTATGTATGTATGTATGTATGTATGTATGTATGTATGTATGTATGTATAGATACTGAGGCTTAGATTAGAACAGAGGTTGGCAGAATGTCAACTCTGGACAGATTTTTGACGGGTCAAAAATTTCTAAAAGAAGGTAAATTGATCTCGGCATTTTCTTTTTTCCATGTAGTGGCCCAAAGCAATTGCAAATAAATATGACGGAGCCTTTGCTTTTCAGTGTGTCTGCTTCCTATTTTTTTAAGAAAAAAAGAAGGGAAAAAAGAAGGGAGGAGGGTACCAAAGAATGCCCCTCTCTCCCCCATAGAAGGATCTAGGGCAGGGGTAGGCAACCTTGGCTCTTTTATGACTCATGAACTTCAACTCCCAGAATTCCTGAGCCAGCAGGGCTGGCTCAGGAATTCTGGAAGTTGAAGTTCATGAGTCATAAAAGAGCCAAGGTTGCCTACCCTTGATCTAGGGCAATAATGGCAAATATTTTGGGCTTAACCTGTCACAAAAATCCAGAAACTGCTTACATTGACTCTACTAGTATGACACAATAAAAGAGAAACAATTTTCTGCTTCCTCACATCTAGTCTACCCTGAGCAGAAGCACTTGGTTGCAACACCAAGACTGGGCTTGAAGCAGAAGCCTAGTGCCACTTCAGCCCTAGTGCCACCATTCTCACACAATTTTCACAGACTCAAGCAATATGAGCAGGAGAAGCTTTCGAGAATCATTGTTGGGTGTTGGTAAATGCTGGCACACTACCCAAAATGCCACAGGGTGTCCCGTTTGACACATGACATAGGTTTGCCATTACTAGTCTTGGAAGTAGTGGGTGGTGTATGAGAAATGTACAACAAAGATGATCAGGGAACTGGAGGCTAAAACATAAGGAACGGTTGCTGGAATTGGGTATGTCTAGTTTAATGAAGAGAAGGACAAGGACGAGGGGGGACATGATAGCAGTGTTCCAATATCTCAGGGGCTGCCACAAAGAAGAGGGAGTCAAGCTATTTTCCAAAGCGCTTGAAGGCAGGACAAGAAGCAACGGGTGGAAACTAATCAAGGAGAGAAGCAACCTGGAACTAAGGAGAAATTTCTTGACAGTTAGAACAATTAATCAGTGGAACAACCTGCCTCCAGAAGCTGTGAATGCTCCAACACCGGAAGTTTTTAAAAAGAGAATGAACAACCATTTCTCTGAAATGTTATAGGGTTTCCTGCTTGAGCAAAGGGTTGGACTAGATGACCTCCAAGGTACCTTCCAACTCTATTATAGTTGTGAAAATAATGTTTCTCAGAAAAATAATATGTTTTGAAGAGGGATCTGAGGGAACAAAAGGTATGCTATGAATTCTGAAGCACAACTGCCAGGTGTGAGAGATACAGGTATCCCTTGATATATGACCATAATAAAGCCTGGCCTATTACAACATGTGTCATGATAATTGTAAATCAGGTTGGTCACATGGCAACTAGATTTTACTACCTTTTTTGCAACAGTCATTAAAGTGAATGTGATGATCATTAAT